AAAAACAGGACTTTTTGGGTTTTTTTTTTACAGTTTAAACCTTAAAGGGAAAATCATTATATGCTTTTACATTTTATACTTTTCTGCATTTAAAAATACTTTACAATAAATATGCATTATCTTACAAGTAGAAAAATAAATGTTATTTTAAAATAGAATAAAATACTATCATTTTTGAGGATTATGAAAGATCATGCAAGTATTAGCCATGGGAATCAACACTGATAAAACAGTTCCCCTCTCCCCACCCACCGCGGACACCTTTCTCTTTCTCCTTCCTGACTCTCAGGTTACCTTTTTGTGAAATGAAAAATAGATTGTACAGAAATGTAAAGCACTGAGTAGAGCACACACTCCATATATCTTGGTTCTTTCCCCTTCACTGAACTACCAGAGGGCAGCGGCTCTCATTCCACCTTTCAGACTCTTACCATCCAAGAGTGATAGCCCTGGGTGTCACGGTGTATCCAGACACTGCATCAGTGCAGATCTAGGACAGGGGAGAGCTCTGTCCCACGGTGGTGGGTAGCGGGGAGGATGCTTTGTAGGGTGATAATGGCTTTCTAGAATAGGGAAAGGACTAAAAAGAATCCTATTAGGGAAGCCTGAGGGGAATTTCATAGGTGGCCCAATGTTTTGTTTCTCTCCAACGATTTAGACAAGGAATAGAACAGAAACTTCTGGAGTCGACACCACTGGCCCAGGCCTACAGCTACCCGTGGCTGGGAGCATTTATGCTCATCTCTTGCACATTCCTGAATCCGATTCCTCATATATAACCCCATCCTTTCTTTGCTGTCCTCTTTGGCAAGGCTGACTCTTGCTGGAACTTTCCCCCTATCCTACAGAAATTTTGACCTGTAGGAGGCCTGAAACTAGATGAAGGGTTAATGTGTCCTTTGCCAAGTGACATCCCACTTCGTAAACAGCAGACAGCAATGCCATGACTTACACCGAGCTCCAAAGGAATACTAGCTCAAGTGTGCATGCACCTGAGCATTAGTTGATTTTGTTAATATTCATGAGCATATGATTTGGTCTAGTTGCCCTTTAAATTCAAATTAGGCACTGATTAAATAATAAGACAGCAGAATCAGGATGTGTTTAAACAGCACTTCCCCCCTCCCCGCCCCCCCAGTAAGGTGCCTTGGTCTTGGGTGTGAGTGAGGATGAGCTATTAAGAGTGTTGAGATAACAGAACAGAGAGTTTTCCTTGAATTAAGCAGACTGACTATATCTTAAATAATGATGATGATGATAATTAAAAATAATAATAACTCTGCAGCAGTTTCAACCAGAATACTTGATATTCCTAATACAAATTTTACTCCTGGGTTTATAGCCTCTCCATCTGATTGCCTCTATATTTGTTAACTTAAATAGCCTTCACATTTGTACTCCTGGGTTTGTTTTTAAGGATTTAAAGTGTAAACTGCCATTAAATCAGTAATTGGAATATTTTTACCAGTAGAGAAAGAAATCTCTCAATAGATTAGTGTATGCCCTATTTTATAAAGGACCTCAGAGCCCCTATCAACCAACAGATATTTTCTCAGGTTTCTTTACCTTGGAGTTCCTTTCTATTCAGTCCTGGCTGCTGCATCCCTGGCATGCACCCCTTGTGTGGATGAATTATTCATCGGCATTCCTCCTTCTCACATCTCCTCCACCCAACTCAACTCCTGCCCACCCGAAGGCTGTGATGAGTCATTGGGAACAGGTGTCCTCCGTCTGGAGCTCACAATCTAGCTCTTGATCCATAAGCCAATCAGCTGTACCTCCTTCTGTTAGCAGCTTGCACTGTTAGCTGTTATGTGGGGTAAATGGGCAATAAACATCCATTCTTGGTACCCAGTGGGGAATATGTCTAGAACATTTGAACAAAATCGCTGGCCTAAGGAGACACCCCCAAAGACACTTCCTCTTGAAATTCTTCAACTTTCACATATCTGTTTTAATTTTTTAAAAATCTTATCTCCCAAACCAAGTGACATTAGCCAGCTCATTTTTTCTTTTGTTTTCAGTCCTTGTACCCTAGAAGACACCAGTTTCCTGTGGGAGCCAAAATTATAACAAATATAAAGCCAGCCAAGCAACAAGCAAAGCTGAAAATAAATAATGAGGCTCAAAATCTTTGGGAATTATATTGGAAAGAATACTAAAAAAAGGCCAGTCCATAATATTCGTGATTCCAAGACTTAAGAAGAAGATGCTGGGTCAGGAGCAAAGCCTGGAAACAAAGACAAGAGAGCAAGGGCCCTTTGAAGAACTTTGGTCAGCAAAAATATTCTGCACTTAAACTGGAGAGTGTAATAAGCATTTTTATAAGCAGCCTTATAGCTGCAGAGCTCATAAATAGCCCAGATGTCACCAAGGAGATATAGTTCTGCATGAAACTTATAATGGTGAATGCTTGAAATGAATTCTCAACATATACGAATGCCTTTTAACCTCGTCATGACCTCAATCTCGGAGGCTCTCAATGGCAAATTCATTTATTTTTCATTCTAAGCTATGTATCTATCAATCAAGCTATGTATCTATCTCCACACTTGCAGTTCTGTAAGCAACAGATGCTTGGCCTAAGCGTTGTAGTGATAATCCGTTAAAATAGTGGTCTTCTGCACATGCTATTTCAGAAGGAAAAGGCAAAAATCATAACCTGTATATCCTATTTTTAATGGAAACTGGATCACTTGTTAATGTGGTTTTCAAAATTCTTTTCCTTAGATCCAGAGGTTAATGGATATTAATAATTTATTTTGGTAAAAACTTCACATTTAGTCTTATTAGGAAATTGCATTTGTGATATGTGACAGAACTTGTTGGAGTTACCACCATTAAAAGTTTCATGTAAAAAAACAAAACATCTAAAAGTGTTCCGAGAAATTGATCCTGGCAGGAGCAATTAATGGTGTGAGATCCTAAAAGCATGAAGAAACACCACAAACAGTGTGTTTCTATAAGGGTGTGATATCTCCAAACCAAACAACTCTACAGGAAAAATCTCAGTTTGAAGCACTTAAATTAGATTATTTCTTCTGTTTCCTAAACTCTGCCATTCCACTTCAGGACACTGAAAAATTTGTATCACAGTCTAAATGATTGTGATGTCCGAATTTATTTGCTTAGGATAAACACCACTCTTTGCCTTTTCACTCAGGTTTATTTCTCTCTCTAAGATGACCTAGAGTTAATTATGAGAACCTAAGTGATCTAATATGGTTTACATTTTTAGATATTCCAAAGAATTTTAAAACCAGGGATGTCAGAACACATATCTGAGTAGTATGAAGGGAGGTGCCAAGGGATTCAGTAAAAAAGTGACAATGAACTAGAAAAAGACCACCAAAAGCAACAGTATGGTGGATGCTGTGTTGGGCCACCCGCATCCTCCTTCAGGAAGGAAGAGCTCACTCTCCCAGTTGCAGGCATCCCTCATCCCTCTCACGCTTCCAGGATCACCCCAGCAGAAGAGAGTTGCTTCATCCAAGGCCACACCCCTTCCCAAGGCAGCCAATGACAGATGACTTATCAAATGGGAGGTTTTAATAGCCAGACTCTCTCATCCCAACTGGACATCTCAGAATGGTCATGTCATCTTCAGACCATCTGTGGCTTCTGTTGAGAATGCCTTGTAGTTCAGTTTCTCCCTTTACCCAGTTCTGCATTCTTCCCTTTCCTTTCACAGGTGTTGATTCCAAGAGCTCCCCCTAATAAATGTCAGCTCCCTAATCTCCATCACAGTCTGTTTCCTGGGCAGCCCAGTCTGCATAGGTACCAGGTAAACAGTTTGAGCAATGGATGTGTATTATTGTATTCTGTGAGGTAAATACAGTTACTATTCCCATTCTACAGAGGAGAAAAGTGAAGCAAAAAGGAGTTAGTTACTTGTCATTACTTGTTAATTCCTTGTTAAGTACTTGAATTCCTTGTCAAAGATTACATACATTTCCAGTGGTAGAGACAGGATTTAAGCCTCAACCATCTGGTCCCAGAGTTCACAATCTTAGCAACTACCCTCCCTACACAGGACACCTCACTTAGAAAAACTGTTTACAGGCAACATGAAATGAAATGAACGATGCAAACAGTTGACTATTATTTTTAAAACCACTTTGATTTTCTAAACATTGATTCCAGGAGTAGCTAATATCAGTCTTAAGTATGGATATATTTTCATATCACTCCCAACTGAAGAAATGCATTTGGCGTGTTTATCTAAAAGTTCCAAGTGTATCACATGGTTTACCAGATGTCCATTTGTACAAATGTAACAATCTCGTCTACCATTCCAGAAGGGTTTTTAGTAGTTATCAATGACAGATATAAAATAATATTACTTTTTTGTGTGTGTGTGTGTGGACAGTTAATCAGGAGGGAAAGAAAATAAATGATGATTTCATTTTCCTTTAGATAATATATATCTTTAAAACTCTATTATCTGTACATGAATGTTCCCACTATTTCTCCCTCACATTTTCTCCTAGAACCTACATAAATTTTTCTTTTACTTTTTTATTCTTCTAAAGATACTTGGGTCAGCAACATTTTCTCATAGTAACTGTCCATAGAGTGAGGAATGATGTTCTTGCCAAAGATTTATTTTCAAGGATGCCTTTCAAACACTTCTTCTTTCTTATTCTGTCTAGATAATGGAGCTCTCTGGTAGACGGTTCTCAAATGAAGCCATTCCTGACAAGTAGCTGTAAACAGCCTAATTCTGGTGTTTCAAATAAACATCTTTAAACGTAATTTCTCCAATCATTCTATTGTTTCATGAACAGTTACTTTACAGAGGAACAAATGTAAATGGAGATATAAATTCTGAAAACGGTGGGTATGGAATAAAACAGAGGGGGTTGGATATTTCTGTTGGAAATAGAGATGCTTAGAGAGAATTGGATAGATTTGCACACTGCTTCATTTTCCCATACAAATAAAACCCAAACGGTTTTCTAAGAGTTTGTGATTTTTTGATGTAATAAGTGGCCTCATACCTTCATCTTTACAGACTTCAGCTGCCTCTTCTGAAGAAGGGCTGGGCACGGTGGCAGCGCTGGCACCATCTATAAGGCAGAAAGAGAAACACTCTCTCAGAGCCAAATACTGTCAGGTTGGAGCTTCCCTTCCCACCTCACCTCCTACTCTACCGAAGGAAGCAGGAGCCTGTTTCGTGCTCTAATACACTGAATGGTCTTTGAAGGGGCTTGGGTTTGTAACTCTCTTCTACGATTAATGGAACAAACACCCTTCAGTTAAGACAGAGCCTGATGAACTACAAACTATCTTTTTGGTGAAGAAGACTGTTTGTTTGGTAGTATTACACTTTGGCATTTTGTTTCTTCCCTACCTCTAGAAGAATGGTACCTTATTTTTCTTAGTAAAAGGCTGTGAAAGAAAGTATATCCTTGCACGTTTCTACAAAGTGCTTTTATGTGTGTGTTTTTAAAGTTTGGTTTTTCTTAGCACAGCACTTCTATTCCATTACGCCAGGCTGTCAAGCTGTAGGGAGCACATCTGATGGCTGTCAGAGAAGAGGTCCAGGAGAAGGGGTCATTTGTAGGAAAGCACCAAAAGCCGTTTGGTGACTTCATGTCAGCCAAGCACAGAGTGGCGACTAAGGAACTTGGAGGTCCGTGCCTGGGCCTCACAGCAGCAACTAACCTCGTCAGAGCTGGACTTTCTTCTTAATATTATCAGCACCCCAGTGACTCCACTAGCATTTGGGCTCCAGGATAATAACTAACTTACTAACACTAAAATAGTGTATTTAAGACAGGAAGGGTTATCAAAATCATTTGGAATGGTTAATACTTGACAAATGGAAAAGGAATATATACATTTTTTTCATGCAGTAACAAGGTTATGGAACTAAAGATAACTCATACACGCATGGTGACTAACACATTTAAAGGCTAATCGGATATCTTCTAGTATATCCTTCGTCCATAATGTATATAACTGTTACTTTTAGGTCACGCCTCTATCAGAACAGAGAGTAAGATTTTTGGTAGGGAGATAACTGGAGACGAATCACTTTCTTCTGTTAGATGACAAACTCCTATTAACATCACAAGAACAAACTACAGACTTTCAACCTTGCCTTAATGTCACATCATCCCATTTCTCTGCTTCCCTTCACGGCGGAACTCCCTAAAAGAACAGTCCATGTTATTGCTCTGGACTTGCTCATCTCACGGTCTCTCCGTAAAGCACTCCAACTGGCTTCGTCGATCCTCCTTGAAGTATTCTCTTATCAAAGGTGTCAATGACCTCACTTTGCCAAATCCAATGGTCATTTCTCCTTTCTTATCTTCCTGGACTCCTCAGGGGCATTTCAGAGTCTACTCTGTTCTTTCTGAAACACCATCTTGCTGTGGCTGTTCCTCCTCCCCTGGTGCCACATGTCTAGAGGCCATGGTGTCCCAGGCCTCACTGTTCTCCTTATTTATATGTTCTCTCTAGTGAATCTCACCCAGTCACATGGTTTTAAGTATCATTTCTCTGCCAGTGACTCCCGAGCCTGTATCTCTGGTCCACCTCTCTCCCTAGAAATCCAGACTCAGATACCTAACTGGCTTCTTGACATCCCCTATGGCCGAGAGTCCTCTTGAATTTACCATGGCCAAAACTGAACTATTAACTCTATTAATAAAAACTGCCCTGTGGCCAGTCTTTCACACGTCGGTAAGTGGCACCATCATCCAAGAAGTTACTGCTGCTACAAACCTAGGATGTAGCCTGGATTCTTCTTTTCCCTACGCCCTAGGTCCAATCCATCAGCACATCTTGTTACTTCTACCTCTGGAACAAAACACATCAGGCCATTTTGTCTCCATTTCCAGAAACCTCCATCACTGCTTTCCTGCTATAGTCTTTCAACTGGTCTCACTTTTGTTCTTTTGACCCATTTTCATTCACAGGCAGAGAGAGCTTGTTAAAACAGATTAGGTCCCTCTACTACTAACAACCTTCCACTGGCTTCTCCTTGTAGTTCTAACAAAATCAAATCTTCTGCAGTCAGACATAGCCTGGCCCTATGATGTCTTCCCAAACCTCGCACCATGTTCTCCCTCATCCATCACGCTCCAGCCACACTGAACTTCCTTCTCCAACCTGTTAAAATCGGCCTGACATCACTTGCATTATCTGGACCCTCCATCTGAAATGCTCTCCCGCCATTTCATCATTGAGATTTCACTTTAATTACTGCTCCCTCAGGGAGTCCTCCCCGAGTCCAGCCAACGGAAAGTTGCCTTCTCAGGATTCCTTCTACATTACCTCATTTCTCCACAATGCATTCGTCACTATCATACTTTTTAAAAATTGTTTATTTTTGGATCACTGCCACCAGAATATAAGTTTCAAGGAAGCAAAGAAACTGTCTTTATTGTTTGCTGCCCTATTTCAGTGTCCAGAACAGTGCCTGGGTCACAGCAAAGCCCGGATAGGTATTTGTTAAACGGCTGTTTGAGGAACAGGACCTACCACTTTGATTTGATCATGACAGCAGTCAGAACTGCTGGATTATGCTGGTTTGAGATTGTGCTTTTTGTGTGATATGGAAGAGGCCTGCAGAGTCGTGTAGTTAGAATTGAAGCTGGACATTCTATTGAATGAAAGGAAGCTACTTTTATTTTGGAAGAATAACAGTAGGTCAGAAGGACTTTAATGACCAGAACTGCATCTCTGACTTCTCTGATCTTGGATGAGGGACGCAGAGCAGACACAGCAATGTATGCTGACACTGGCCAAGAGCATAGACGAATCCTGCCATTGGGCTCTGTGCCGGCCACTTAGAAAAGCAAGCAGAGCCCCTCAGGGGTGCATTTAGGAATCTTCTCTACCATGAGAGGCACCCAGATTGCGGTGATGTTGCTGCCCATCCAAGAGGTGGAGAAGAGAGCTTGTATTCTACCACTCTCTCCTCACAGGCAAGATGGTCCTAAATCCATAAAGACACTGCCTGTTCTCAACTGATTAGGGGAAAAGAGATGAATAAATAAAAAGCAGGCAGATGTGTGTGCATGTCTGTATGTGTGTGCCTGTGTATGTGTATGTGTGTGAACAGGGGTGGGAGAAATCTATGTCGATAAAGACAGTTTGGGACAGAGCAGCGAATGAATAAAACCTGTACAACCACAATAGTCAGAGAATGGCCTCAGCTGTCAGCAGCTGGTTGATTAATACCCATCAGCCCCAAACAGTAAAAACAGTGACAGCTTTTCACAGAAGACTCATCTTCCACGGAGCATAACGGTGTGGTGGCCGGGAGCTGGGGGCGATGGTGGTGTGGATGACAACAGTTTTCTGTATTAGGGATTCATTCCACTGCAAGGACTACACTTTAGCAAAGGGAGCCAACTGACCCAGTGGCAGGTACACAAGGTCCTTGCTGCCGTGCTTCAGTGCCTTCTCTGATTGGCCTTCTTCAATTCCATCTTCCAGGTTAATAATAAAAGCTTTCAGTTCTCTAGCAAAAGTTCCAAGGTTAATGCAGGAACTTTTCAGTGAAAAACTTATCACACTCCCTGGTTTATTTCTAAGAGTCCAGCATATGGTTTAGGATGCGGCAGGCACATGAGCAGAGCCCACTATTTCAAAGATGCCCCATCCGTTGGGCTCATTAGAACCAGAAGAATGACTTGGAAAATAGAAAGAAGAAGGAAATTTTTATTTTGATGGTTATGTTGATAACTGAAAAATTGTGTGAACCATTCTTTTTTTTTTTTTTTTTGTTTCGGTAAGCGGGCCTCTCACTGTTGTGGCCTCTCCTGTTGCGGAGCACAGGCTCCGGACGCCCAGGCTCAGCGGCCATGGCTCACGGGCCCAGCCGCTCCGCGGCATGTGGGATCTTCCCGGACCGGGGCACGAACCCGTGTCCCCTGCATCAGCAGGCGGACTCTCAACCACTGCGCCACCAGGGAAGCCCTGTGAATCGTTCTTTTAAAGGAGAGCATGCCTGAGTACAAAAGTGGGGAGGAAGAAAAGATAAACCTAAGGAGATGACAATCTCTTTTGAGTCTTAAGTGCCATTTTATTTTAAAAAGTTCAATTTATAATCTACAGTAGAAGATCTCTAAGCATTCCATTGGCTCATCTGTTCTTCAGTGAACAGAGTTGATGTCAGGAAGGCTTTGGATCTCATTGAGCTCTGGGTGTGGGGTAGTAAGCCTCTGTCACTCCTCACACCATCATCTACAACATACAGAGAAATGACCAGAAGCACGGCTCTTCAAAATTTAATGTAAAGCAGTAAAGGACACTCCATTCATTGTGGAAGGAAAGCCTCTGATATATTTCCTGTGAATTTTTTTAAATAATTTTTTTTGTTTGTTTGTTTGCTCCCTGTGGCATGCGGGATCTTAGTTCCCCGACCAGGGATGGAACCCACGCCCCCTGATTGGGAGCACAGAATCCCAACCACCGGACCACCAGGGAAGTCCCCCTGTGAATGTTTTTCATTTCATTTTTTCCTCCAAACGAAATCTGCTGAGTTTGACCTGCCCTCAGTCAGCCCAGCTCTGACATGGTCCTTCCAACCTCTGCCCATCCCGCGTAGAGCATCACTGAGCAAACTGCGATCACACGGGAGAAAAGTGGGGCTGGTGATTGAGACCTGAGAGGGAGGGTACCCTTCCGATTGGTGAGCCTGACACTTGTAGTTAACAGGGTTGGTGGCTTCCTGAGGGAGACCTGAACGAATATTGATATTAACCTGGTGAAACGGTATAAATATTTACAGAAAAGGGCACTGAGTAAAGCCATGTTCACCTCTGGGAATGAGGCCTAGGGGACGCCTCAAAAGAAACCTGAGCTCACCTGCTTCTCGGCCCTGCCCTTCCATTTCTTTGGCACTTGGCTTTTCCTGTGGACCGTTCTCATCTTTCAAGAAAACCGCAGAGGAAAAAAAAAGTATACATCAAGTCAGTTTATGAAATATCTCTTTATGGCTAATATGCACTGAAATTAATTGTAACCAGTGTAGCATGACTCCCCATAAAGCGAGGCAGAGAGATGAATCAGAGGCGTGAAACAGAAAAATTACCTACATAAATAGGTGTATTTATCTTTGTCCTTTCTCACATGATTTGCTTGGTGGAAAGTTGAACTGCAGTAAACAAAATTCACTCAGCAGTCCCAGTAACATCTCTCTCCTTGCACAACATTTCCCAAAATGCAATACAAATTTTAATTCCAATCTGCTTTTTTTCCTTGACTCAAGCAATATGCACTGTGTAAGGAAACTTGGTTGATTACGTTCCTATGCCCTTTATTTTCCTGTTTGTTGTATGTTGCAAAAGAACCCCTATTTTTACTTAAATTTTTAAACATTGACTTACATTTTACATATGACAGTCTAACATACCTATGCTCTGAAATACTCTGTGTTGAACAGATTATGCTGGTCAAGTTTATGCCGTAGTACATAACTCCTTGAAAAATTAATAACTGGACAGGTATAAGGGTGGCTATATATTAGAAACTAGCTAAAAACTTCCCTTTGGCTTAAAATATATAATATATATCTGTGGATTTATGTGTAGAAAAAAATTAAGTCTTCAAAGGCAAATAAAGTCATCATTTTATAATTCATTGCTGGGAGGGTTTCCAAGTCTCTGTGTTTGGAAAAATCTTTTTAAATGATAAAACATAAGAGATGTCGTTAAAGTACAGAAAACAGAGAAGCAGACGTTATCAGCACATATTACTATGGGTTAAAGATGGCCACAGATCCTTGTCTCTCAAGAAGTGGAATCTATTTCTTGTCTCCTTAAATTCGAGCTGGTTCTGTGACTTGTTTAGACCAGTGAAATGTGTAAGTGATGTCTGGGCCCCCTAGCCAAGGCCTCAGAGGACTATAGCAGCTTCCACTTTCTCCCTCTGGGAATCCAGCCACCCTGCTGTGAAGACACTCAGATTAGCCTCCCAGGTGGAGAGGGGTACATGGAGCAGCACAGAGGGGCCAGACATATGCGTGAAGCCTCTTCCCACCTTCCAACCCAGCCCTGCTGCCAGCCGAATGCCCCCAAGTGATGACATCAGCCAAGGCCACAAGGAGCAGAAGAATCACCCAGCTGAGCCCTTTTAGAATTCCTGCCCACAGCCAGGCTCAGATCACTTAAACTTGTTTTACTTGACTGCTTTGACCCACCATCTGCTACAACTATCAACTCTTAATCCAGAGGCAAGAGGATGGGGAATCCTCCCCAGAGGAGGACTCAACAAGTGGAGCTGAAACAAGAGCCTCAGAAGCAATGGGGAAACAGTTCACCAAGCAGCTCTGAAAAACAACCTTCTGAGAAGAGTTGCAAATGGAAAAAATTTGGAATTGACCCGAATGAAAAATTTTATAATAGAATGACAAAGATAAATAAATAAATAAATAGATAGATAAATAAGAGTGACACTGACATGCGGAAGGGATGCTATCAATGAATAAATATATCAGTATGTATATAATTCCCTCTGGCCAGCACTGTGCCATTTGTCACGCGGGACACAGTATAACCTGGGATGGCTCTGTAACTCTGTAAACCCAAGGTTCTGCGTGACATATTTCCAAGGATATTTCTGATACTTTCTCTGTTCTGGTTCTCCGCGGAGGCACTGGCACTGGCTTTTGCTGTAGGAAGGAAATAGCCATCACTGCTGCTCTTGCTGCCCTAACAAGGCCAAGCCGGTGCAGGAGCATGTGTCAAAAACGTAAGTCAGTGTTTCCCCCTTTCTCCCACCAAATGGACTCAGACTCAAGCAGGAGAGATCTACCAGTTTTCCTATCTCCGCCAACAGACACCACCACCCCCCCCCCTTTTTTTTGGCCACGTCATGCAGCACGTGGGATCTTAGTTCCCCCACCAGGGATCGAACCTGCATCCCCTGCATTGGAAGCGTGGAATCTTTTTTTTTTGGAAGCATGGAGTCTTAACCAATGGACCCCCAGGGAAGTCTCAGACAGACCTTTTAACACAGATTCCACAATAGGCTTGAAGTCTGCAGTGACAGGCTGCTTTTAAAATTGGTCTGGTGACCACATCTCCTATGGAGTGGGAGGTAAAAATCTTATGAAGAGAGGAAGGTAAGAAGGGAAAGAGAAACAACAATTGAGTCACAGGAAGGTGAAGAATTGTTTCCACCAGTTCTAAATTCATGAAAAGGAAATTCATGGTCAGAGCCCCGAGTCCAACTTTATAATAGTAAAAAGCAGTCTGGCTCTTTATCTAACCTACTGCTACTGGGTTTTACCCTTAATCCCTGTGCCCGTGGTCCCACTCCCTACCGCAGTCTGGCATGTTCTGTTTTCGACTTTGAGTCTTGGCTGTGGGGTGGTCTAGTTGCAGGATTTCTGCCCTTGGGAAGCAAATTCAAGAAACACTTGGCATGTTTATCACGGAGTAAATGCCTTCTAGAAGAATGCTCGATTTGGCGTTTGAGTAACTTGCCCTCAAATGAAAAGGCTCAGGTATATTGCTTTCATCAATTTCCAAAGACAGTGCAACCTCAAGGCCAGCAGGGGGAATCAGTGTAGAAGTCTGGCTTTCAAAGGCCGGTTGATAACATTCTCGGGCAATTAGGTTAGCATTCACGTCACTTTTAGAAGGACAGTTTGGCTGGCTTCTAACATTCCATCCATTTAAAATACCTCAGTTGGGTGAGTTCTTAGTGAAACAGTGGGCTTCCTCTGGTAGGAAAGACAAAAATCGCATTACACATTTACCCGTATTTGATAAGAACAAGCTTTCCTTTCATCAGCCTTGTCTGTCTAGCCATCTTCACAGAAAGCATAAAAACAATAAAAAGTTAAGTAGAGTGGGGAATGTAAACTTGTGGTTTTTAGAAGGGATTTAAAGGGCTTACAATAAACAGGAAGAAGTATAGGGAAATGACAGGCTATTTTGTGAGCTTAAAACATGTCACACAGAAACTAAATTCTCTTAGTTGATATACCTATAGGATCCCATATGTACTTCCGATCATAAATTTCCATATCATTACACTGAATGTCACATACTACTACTTCCCCACGCCAAAAAGCACAGTGACCTGTGTGAATTCTAATGGTTGAATCATTTTTGCTTCTCCAGCGTTAAAACCATGCCCTCTATTCTTTCAATCCATACTTACGGAGCACATACTATATGCAAGGATATTTCAGGAATTTTATAGAAATCGAAATAAGAGACTCCTGCTGTGAAGCTGGAAACGAGTAGAACCCTGCAGGTTCCCCCCCGCCCCCGCCCTTCCCCAAGTATAAAACCAAGCAGTTAATGATTAGGAAAACAGAGTCACAGACTCAGTGTCTGATGTTCGTTCCTGAGTTGTTTTACAGATACCATAACCGCCACCAGAGGAAAAAACGTTAACTGCATGATGATCAGACAGATGCTGGCCATGACATAAGCTGCTCCAACTTGAGTCTATGGCTACCACAATTCTAAGGACTGGCCTCAAGAGAATGGGATTAACATTATTGCACATAATAATCTATATCTTTGTGGGTATCAAAATAATTGTAGCTTGTTCTGCCCATACATGTAAGCAGGCAACTAAAATTGTCAGCAAAGAGATGCTACGGACCCATGTTGACATCTTCCAGTCTGAGAATATGTCGCCTATGTCAGCATGAAAAAGTTACAGAAGACAGACCTTCACCCCTAATCCCATAGAAATGGAATGATGTCTGAAAAGTGGGGATTTGTAAGCAGTTCTTTGCAGGAAACTGCCCTCAGCAGGAAGCCCCTTTTCTTGTCACTTTAGCAAAGCTATACCATAACTAATTTTAAACAAGGTACCCCCATGCTCTACTCGTTTCCGGCCCAAGAACACCTTTCAAATCTTTTAATCGCACAATAATTTGTCAGTTCTTCTGGTAGATCAAAGAAGTAGGAATGAAGAATAAGTAATTAACAGATGACTAGATCTCTTCCCTAGCTTCCCCTTCAGAATCTCGTGAACAAACTGTGTGACCAAACTGTGTGAACATGATAACGTGTAGGGGAAGATAATAAGAAATCCACGAGCCTGCATGCAGTGGGGAATGGTGACCACTCTCACGCCCTATCTCAGTGATTAACTGAGACTACTCCCCTCCTTGCCGTTAAAACTTTCATGGCTGAGCGGAATCTTTGGAGGCGGCTTTTGGGGGACGCTGAGTCCACCATCTCCCCAGATTGCTGGCATTCTGATGAAAGGTACCTTTCCTTTCTACCACTGGTGAGTATTGATTTTGTAAGCGGTGAGCAGAAGGACCCCCCGCCCCCCGATCAGATAACAAAGTGAATTCGTTTAATTGTGTAGTTCATGTTTAATTTTATATGGACGAGCTTTATAAGGGCAAAATTTCAATGTTGTGGCTACACATTGCTACCCTGATATCTGCAGTTCCATTTTTGAACTGTGCGTGGGGATGGGAAGAGCAAGGGGAGGTAAATCAGAACAAATTCATCCTTGCTACTGGGCAAACAACCGGATGGGTACTGCCTGCTGGTATACTATTACCTTTTCTTATAAAGGCCCAAGATTTCTGGACCTGGACAGGGTGCAGGCAATTCAAATACAGTGCTTTGCAGATTGGATTCCAATTCTTCAGTTCCCTGTAATGGATTGTTTACCTCAGCGTCCTTCCATTGTTGTTGGACTTGACCAAGCGATATGCCTAATGAAATGTTAGCGGACATGATAGGAGCAAAGAGCTTGAACGTGTTGCATCATTGGACTTGGTGTCTGTGCTTCTGACATTGGCCATGACAAGAAGATGCCTCTGCAGCTGCTGGTTTAAAGATGAGCGGAAGAAGCCTTGGCCCAAGTTACAGTCTGGAGGCAAGCCCAGAGAACTCACAGCTTGAATTAGAACTGCCCAGCTGAGCCCAGCCTACATCAGTGGA